CGCGCCCCATGCGACACGCTGAACATTCGCAGTCTGCGGGCAGCAATCACTGACTCGGTCAACTATAACGCACCGTTGTTTGCTTGGTTCAGTGGCAGCGATGGTCACAATTAAGTACTCAACCGATTTTCTACGCACTTTCGGCCGTTGCTTGAGGTAACAACTGACACATACTACAGAGAAAACAGGCCGCAACAGAATCTACATAAAATAAAATAGCAGATTTGGTGAATAATACTCGGCGATATATATACCATCGAACTGGACAACTCGGAGGGTCAAGACAACGTCGGATCGTTGTGCGTGGTGCGAGGAGTCAAACGACTGTACCCAGGTGCGGAGGGGGCGATTTGCTGTGGGTTGCCTACTTTCAGGGGTTTTGTAAGACAAATAATTGCCTACCTACTCTAGGGGGTGACCCCTCCTGACTGTACCGGGTCGTATCAGAGGCGGGTTTGGGTAAGCCACAAAATCCGTGTGATGTAGGCAACCAGAGGCCCGCGGCCCCGCGGTGCATCACATCTGATCACATTACCCCGGTCGCATAGGCGTGGTCTGGTGTTCGACGCTCAGCACCAAAAGTGTCGAGAGGCGTTTTTATTGCACCTCTCACTGCTCAGCACCGCCTTTCAGCTCGGGGGTGGCTGATGGCTGGTAGTTTGTGAGAGCCTTCGCTCTGCGGGGTTACTTCCCCAACAGGTGGCCGTCCGGCCGCGAGACGCAGTGACTTCCGAATAGCTTCCTGTCGTCGCCCCCCCCCCCTCTCCCCCGCTCTCTCTGTCTCACTTTGTCTCTATCTCGCCCTTTCTCTAGATTGCAAGTGTCACAGTGGACACGGGACACCGCACGGCTTGACTCTGCGCCCTTTCCGCTGAGGTTTGTGCCGGGGCATAGCGCGTTTCCAGTACAAGTCCCCTTTCTCCCCCTCCCCTCCACCCACCAGCTACCGCATACTATGGTAGCGTTCTACGCTCGTTTTCACAATAGTCTTGCGTTATTTGCGTTTGCCTCCCTAAACGAATGGTGCACCAAAAAGTGTGCATGTAGTATTTTTATTTACACCAGGAGAAACAATCCCTCATAGGCCAGAAACCTTTTAAAGTCTAGAAATAGTTTTTTT